TGCTATATTTTGACAATATAGGAAGGCTTTACTAATTTGTATCCGTTTGGTGGTTGAACCTGTCACCAACGGAGACTGATAATGTAAAATGCCTTTTCTTTAAGTGAGGAATATTTCCTATTTTGCGGAGAAATGTTCAGTAGGTCCAGTTACGAGCTGCTCCCACAGAAGGACCTCCGCTCCCAGAGGACTCCTGGTTTGTTTGTGGACTCTCACAAAGGACTTTCATTTGACTACATCCCAAATGTTTCTGCGAACGACTTCACTGGTRGGTGATAAKGTAGTGTTTTAGGAGTATTTAAATTGTCCTTTAAAAAGCAGAGTTATTAATCTCTTTTGTTGCGTTCAAGTGAAACCGTAAAACACAGCACTGCCTCTTTAAAAGTGTTTTTGTTATGTGCATCTTAAAGATACAACCCAAGGATGGCTGTCTTGGATTTGCAACCTTGTCGTCATCTTCCATGTTTACATCCTCACTTTCATTTTGTTCCCGATAACAGGATGGTTTGTACTGAAGGTAGGATAAAACTCTCACCAGGATATATCTTACTCACTCACTGAAACAGAAAGATTGATTTCTGTTCTGTTCAGACGGTGCCGAACTACCAGAGGATTGTAGTGTTTCGCCTGGGTCGAGTTTGCCCTCCCAAGGGTCCAGGTGTGGTTCTTGTGCTGCCCCTCATTGATCAGTGGCAGAAAGTGGACCTGCGCACTCGAGCTTTTAACATCCCTCCTTCCCAGGTATTTGACTCTGAAGAATGTATAGCTGTGAATAATTTTACTTTATCATGCTTAACAGTCTAGTTGCTCTTATACTGAAAGAACCTAGCCAACATGCAAGTTTAAAGAGTACCAGCATGCTGGATCTGACTTTAGGAAATGCTAATATACAGTACATCAAAATAAAACATAAACTGTTCATTCTCATCTCAACACTACTCATTTTTAGTACAAGATAAATGCAAACTCAGACAATAGGTATAATTGTACACCTAGTCATTATTTATTTAATAGTCCAAGAAGCAGCAGTGTCTGAAACGCTGTTTCCGTATGACGTAGTGGGGTAAGAAATAGTGAGTCGTAGTCTTATTAACACACTTAAATTAACTTATTTTTAGCAAGTAGTAGGGTTGGGCATAATCGTATCRTGTGCAATTAATCGCCAGAWAARCATTAATCGATTATTTTTTGGCACTTGACRATTAATACGATTAATGCCACCAAGCTGACTGACTGGAGAGTTCTCCAGTCAGTCAGCTTGGTGTTCCTCTCCACTTCAAATATGATGAACATTAAAAAAAAGGTTCTGTAATGTATTTATCTATCAACATAATTTAGAATTTGATGTATAACCTGAAGTCTGTAATTTTTACACAATTTGGAAAAGATTTTTATGAAGAGCAAATCCTTCCCACTAAATTGGTCATGTGACTAGGACATAAGGGTGTCCAGGGACTCCAGGGCATTAATCGTCAAATTAATCATTATCGGCTAAATACCACAATTAATTGTGATTAATTTTTGTGCCAATATTGCCCAACCCTAGCAAGTAGAGCAGTTCACATGTCTGGAGTGTTAAGGTTTGTATTAGCACAATGACAAGGAGAACATATATCTGCAGTCATCTTAGTGGACAAACAAAATGTTAAGCATTCTTAATTTTTTCAGTGTGAAAGATTCTCCCCTCGTGTCTYGAACATTCAGAAGACTTGAAACCCTTCCTTAATGGAGAAGTAGTTCTTGACGGTACAGTTTCAGTCAAACGCGGCCGTCACTTCAGTGACAAACGGTTCATTTGTCACYGCAGGTGAACACTCGGGACGGTGGGGTGCTGTTGGTGGGAGCTGACATCCAGTTCAGGATCTGGAACCCGGTCATGTCAGTGGTGTCAGTTCAGGACCTGAATGCTTCCACAAGGATGACGGCACTAAACCTTCTGACCCACAGCCTGTCCAAGAAGACCGCCAGGGAGATCCAGACTGAGAGAGTGAAACTGGGGGAATATCTTGGGGTGATGCCACACTGGAGCTGCTTACTTTTACAACTGATCTTGTTTTAACATCAAGTGTCTAAGAATAGAAAAATAGGACACAGGTTACATTAAAGGACAAGGTTGACTGATTTAAATCTTAGCTTGTTTGAGGTATTTTTTAAATTTAGTTTAATAAAACATATAAAAACTGTTATAGCATGCTTTTTTACATATCTAATATGTGTCTCTGTTATCCTCAGATGGACATAAATGAAATGACTCGCCCGTGGGGGCTTGAGGTTGATAGGGTAGAACTTACCTTTGGTTCTCTAATAAAAGCACCAGAGGAAAGCCCKGCTCCCAACTATGTCGCACCTCCATCTGTACCTGGACTCGAAGGCCTCACTGGCTCCATTCAGCATCTGGCCATGCACTTCCTGAGTCAGGGTGGCAGCTCACAGCTTCACCAGAGTAAGGCTTAACACTCGCAGTGCCTTTTTTCTGGAGAGTATTGCCTCACCACTAATGTGTCCCCTCTTCTAGACGACAGCGTAACGTTTACAGACGAGCTCAGCAGTGACCCCGAGGCGGTCAGCACCACACCAGGYTCTGTCGAGGATCTGCTCAGCGATGTTCAGACTGTACTCTCCGAGGCTTTGGTCCAGCAGATCAGGGCTTATTTCCAGTTTGAAATCAGCGCCGCAGACGGACAACAGCACAAATACTACCTGGATTTAAGTCAAGGTAATGGCAGCTAAATCTGTCTGATAATGAGCTTTTGAACACTTTAAGACAGACAAATAAAAACAGTAATAATAATTAAAAATTACATTGCACAGAACGGCGTTAAAACACAAGAATCATAAAGAAATTATCATTTATAATGGGATAAATGGATGATGTCATAGTATCACTGTCTGTAAGAATAGCGTCTTAGCTGCACTGGTAAAGATTCAAGGGTCTTATGGTCTCTGAAAAAAAAAATCTGAATGTTTTTAAGTAATATGATGCCCGTTCAGTCTGATCTTAGGACACAAACTGGGTGATCCAACCACTAGTGGTTTGAGTAGACGCCTGTAAGCCCTGCTCTGAGTGCAGAAATAACATGTAACTCATGTCACACAGCTTGGCCACAAACTAAACGAGTTCCAACGTTACTGTAAAATCACAAAAACATCAAGCTGAGTTTTCAGATATTAGGGATTGGAATTATTTGCTCTGTTTGTTTAATAAGTTTTTAGCAGACACTAAATGAGAAAAGTAAAGGGAGCTACAGCTCTCTGTATAAATAGAATATATGCACTGAATCCTGGTCCTTTTCTGTTTTTATAAAAATGTCACGACTGAGTTGGGATATAAAAAAAATTATTAGAGGCTTTAAAAAGTTTAAATCCTTGTGAGCATTAATTGTGATGTTTTTGCAAATATTAATAAATATTTTTTAATGTGTGCAGGTCGGGGTGCGGTCGGATCAGGGTCCTTGTGTCGAGATCCAGATGTGACTCTGAGCATGACCGACGGNTGTGTCGAGATCCAGATGTGACTCTGAGCATGACCGACGGCGACCTGGTGGCCATGTTCCAGGGGGCGCTGAGGCCGTTTTCTGCTTACACCAGTGGTAGACTGAAAGTCCAGGGGGACATGAAGGCAGCCATGAAACTGGAAGAACTCGTAAAACTGCTTAAAAAGCAACATTCATAACAAACAGGCTTTTATTTAAAGCTTTAATTTTAACTGTGAATTCTGAGTTTTTGTTTGTTCAGATTAAATTTGAAAAAGCTGAACTCTTGTAGTCTTGTTTGTTTTAGTTTCTGCAAAGCAGGAATTGTTATAAATATTAAGAATATATGAAGCCAGTCAGTTTCAGCTCTGCAGGCTTACTGTACTGTGTTGTTTTTCTGCTCAGCAGAAGGGCCTTGATCACTATGAAAGGGGGGCAGACTGTAGACCAGCCCTCTTGCCGTCTTCTTTTCAGAGGGGAGGCACGGGGAGAGCAGAGTAGCTGTTGAGGAAACACCAGAGCGAGCAGTGTTGTGTAGTTGCAATGGCCCGGTTGAGTCTGTATCGGACCCCTGCGGCGCTGCCCCTGTCCTGGATGGAGAAGCCGGCAGCTTCAGGCGTGCGCTGCAGCAGCAGCATGCCGGTGATTCGACAATCGTTCTCGGAGAGCAGCAGCATCGTCAGGCCCTTTAATGAGATCCCTGGACTGTGGAGGAACAGCTCGATCAACCTGTACAAATTCTGGAAACAGGATGGCTTCAGGAACCTGCACCGCCTCATGCTGCAGAACTTCAACACCTTTGGACCCATTTATAGGTAAGTATGCAGATACAGACAACATGAGGCTTTAAATGACGTCAGTAAAAATAAAGTGTTTTATTTTTGCTCCACAAGGTCACTGATTAAAAAACAAAAAGCAGCTGTGACTGTTTTTTTTTTTACTCTTCTGTTTTCTTCATGTCAGAGAGAAAATAGGTTATTATAAAAGTGTTAATATCATCAAACCAGAAGATGCAGCAATCCTGTTCAAAGCCGAAGGCCATTACCCTAAAAGACTGAAAGTTGAAGCGTGGACGTCATACAGAGACTACAGAAACCGCAAATACGGAGTCCTGCTGAAGTACGTGCACCCTGTTCCACTGCCACGCCGCAGAGCGAGGTGTTCCTTTTAAACGTGCCTGTCTTCACCTCACAGGAACGGTGAGGACTGGAGATCCAACCGCGTCATTCTTAACAAGGAGGTGATTTCCCCCAAGGTGCAGGAGAACTTTGTGCCTCTGCTGGACGACGTGGGCCAGGACTTTGTGGCCCGGGTTCACAAAAAGATCAAGCGAAGTGGTCAGAACAAATGGAGCACGGACCTTTCTCAGGAGCTCTTTAAATATGCGCTGGAGTGTAAGAAGGATCGGTGCCATTTTGCTTGTTTTTATAGTCCTGCTTGTTTTTGTCTCAGTCTTTTGCTTTTTTTGTTTTATAAAAAGCGGTGAGCTCGGTGCTGTACGGGGAACGTTTGGGTTTGATGCTGGACTACATCGACCCTGAAGCTCAGCGTTTCATCGACTGCATCACGCTCATGTTCAAGACTACCTCCCCCATGTTGTACATACCTCCTGCTGTGCTGAGAAAGATTGGATCCAAGGTGTGGCGGAACCATGTGGAGGCCTGGGATGGCATATTTAACCATGGTGAGATCAGCAGAAAAATGACATTTTAGCACATTATTGGTTTAACACAATCGTTTTGATAAATCAGCGGACCGCTGCATCCAGAACATCTACAGGCAGCTGCGTCAGGAGACGGACACCTGTAAGAAGTATCCAGGAGTTTTGGCTACATTGTTATTGCTGGACAAGCTGTCCATTGAAGACATCAAGGCCAGTGTCACTGAGCTGATGGCCGGAGGAGTCGACACGGTAAGAACAAGCACAATTTTAAAGGGGGTTTCTCTCCAGGCTTCTTCCCATCAATGAAAAACCGCCTTTGTTTGTCTGTCAGACGTCTATAACCCTGCAGTGGACGCTGTATGAATTAGCCAGACATCCAAACCTGCAGGAGGAGCTGAGGGCCGAGGTGGCTGCTGCTCGAGCTGCAAGCCAGGGAGACATGCTGGACATGCTGAAGAGAATTCCTTTGATCAAAGGGGCTCTGAAGGAAACACTGAGGTGAAATAATATAATCTAGATGACACAGCATAAAACTGAACTCTGGTAAAAAAAAAAAAAAAAAARAAAAAARWTTCTTTTCATTTAAAATTGATCTAAAATAATTGACATCACAGCCGTGGCACTGATCTTTGTTCCACTTTAATTTTGACCACGTTGCTTTGAAACTAGAATCAGCGTTTGTTTTTTGTTTTCTCACCAACAAATGCAACAAAGTTAATGTTTACTTGAATAAAAATATAATTTTTTACTCAACAGGTTACATCCAGTTGCTGTGAGTTTGCAGAGATACATCACAGAAGATATAATTATTCAAAACTACCACATCCCAGCTGGGGTAAGAAGCAGCTAAACATACATTTATTTGACTTTTATTTTCTAGAAGAATTAGAAGTCACTGTGTAAACACAGAGTGGATGTTAAAGGCTGAATGTCTTCAATAGTTTGCAGAAGAAGCTGAAACTGATTTGTTAGCGATGAAAGTGTCAAAAGGATAATTAAAAGTTAAAAGTAGTAAAATGCTGTCTAAAGCTAAAAAAAGAGCAAAAGACAGACTAAAGCACGTTAGAGAAAAAACAAAAGTAGCAAAAAGGAACAAAATGCTAGCTGAAATAATTAAATTACTTGCTAAAAGCTAMAAGAAACAAAAGATTAGGTAAATGGTCAAACTAGCAAAATGTTAGCTAAATGCTAAAAGCAGCAACACTTCAAGAAATAAAAGCAGCAAAGGTTTATATAAAAGCTAAAAGTAGCAAAAGATTAGCTAAATATTAAAACTTACAAAAAAAGGTTAGCTGAAAGCTAAAAATAGCAAAATGAAAAAAAAAGGCAGCAAAAAGTTTTCTAAAAACTAAAAGTAGCTTTAGAAAACAAAAGTACACAAAGTACGCTAAGGCAGATTTCAAAAAGAGCAAAGTTTTATGAAAGACTTAAATAGATCTGAATGTGTTTCTATGGGGATAAATTTAAATATAAAAAAATGAAAACAATTACTAAAGTTTGATATCKTAGCACCCATCACCTGATGGAGACACAGAAGTAGTTTGTGTGAAWGCTGACTCAGCACTCAGACTCTAATGTTTGTGTGTCTGTGTGTTTGTGTTTAGACCTTGGTTCAGTTAGGACTGTACGCGATGGGCAGAGACCCCAAGGTGTTTTTCCGTCCGGAGCAGTATCAGCCGTCTCGCTGGCTGAGGACCGAGTCTCAGTACTTCAGGAGCCTGGGCTTTGGCTTCGGACCCCGCCAGTGTTTAGGACGCAGGATAGCTGAGGCAGAGATGCAACTCTTCCTGATCCATGTGAGTCACAAACACAAGTTTGTATTTCTATTCTTGTTAGGACCGTTCATTGACTTCCATTCATTTCCAGTCGTACATAGTACATATAGCCTAAACTCAATTTCTACCTTAATCCTAAACCGAACCCACAACTCAACGAATGGACCAGTCTTTGGTCCCCATAAGGACCACTGGTCTCGACAAAGTAGGTGTGTATATCAGAAACGGTCCTAAAAAAGTAACAAATACAAGTACACACACACACATAGTCATAGCAGTTTCACTAAATTATGTTGCAGCATGGAGATCAAACATCCTACTTAAAGTTTCCCCTTTTTCTTTTAACAGATGCTTGAGAATTTCCGAATTGAGAAGCAGCGCAACGTGGACGTGCAGAGCACCTTTGAGCTCATTCTCTTACCAGACAAACCTATCATACTGACTCTGAAACCTCTGCAAGCTAACCAGTAACATCAAAGCTTTAAAGGAATTTGTGGAGCGCATCAAGTTCAGTTCAGTTTTATAACCTTTTCATCTTAGTGAACTGCTATTRTCTTCACGCAGCACTGCAAAATAAACACGAGTTTGTATTACTGTAGATAGAAAGCATGAAAACAAGTAAAAACTAAAAAACATACATTAGGAAGCAATTACCTCAGTGATTCGGTAACTAATGTATTGTACATAGCTTAGAAAACAAAATGATTTAATAATAAAAATGTATAAAAAGCAGGAATCCATTTGTACATGGAAAATATTTAAAAATGCACATCTATAGAGACCAAACAATGTAATTATTGTTTCAGTTTTCTGCATTTTAACATAAAATCAGATTTCAGGGATTTGAACTATTGGGCTGAGCTTATTCCACTATTGAGAAGGTTTTAGTGTTAGGAGACTGATCTTCTCAGATTACCTTTTCATGAAAATTACAATCCCCGTGAATAAAAATCCATTCTATTCTTTGTCATGACACAAGTCTCTTTAGCCTCCTCTTTGCTTTCTCTGACCACACATTGTCCCCTTGATTAACTCACAAACACATTAAATTCAAGATACTAAATTTCCACGAATATGAGTTTTTTTTCCAGGTGTATTGGTTAATTGATAGCTCTAAATTGTCCACGTGTCCCTGTGATGGACATGAGACCTGTCCGGGGTGGACCCCGCCTCTCACACTGCTGGACATGCGCACCAGTGACCCTCGTGACCTGGAAAGAAGTAAAAATGATGGATGGTTGTGTTGGTTTTCCTTTAATAGCTGAAAAGAATCCTTTATTTTCGACTTATTCTAACCATCAAGATGAAGAAATCCGAGTCCTCGTCTTCCTCGCTGGGTCCGCTGATCTCTTTGCGTTTTTGTGTTTGCCTTGAAGTTTTAAAATGTGGCAGCATTTCTGTGAACATTCACATCCAAAACTCTTGTTAGGAGAAAAGAGCACCTCCTGCTTGGAAAATCAGGTGGAGTCAACAGATAAGTTGGTGTCTTTGCCTTTTTTTTTTTTTTGTTACTGATTCTGCAAAATCCCATTCTGCTGCAGAAGTCTGAAGCTTCAGTAACTACCACCCTATAATTAAAACTCATTATATAATCCCTTCTCATTCTTTCAGTGCCTGTTTGTGTTTAGGGATGGAAAAAAGTCAGCTTTAAGGTGAAGTCTTTAAAACAAAATGGCTAAAATAATTCCTCACTGAACCTTTTGAAATCCGTAGAATTTTCTGTGGGATGACATCTACTGTAAATCCAGTCTCTTCGCTCTGATGCTGGCAGAGAGACCTTCAGGAACCTCCGTTCAGTCAGGGTCATGCGCTGGCCTTCAGGAGATAAGGCTTGATTCACCCAACTAGCTTATCGGAGGGCCGTGGCCCAAACGAGCTGCCTTATCACCAAACAACACAGTCTGCTCGGGAGGAGACAGCCTCAAGGATTTATAAACACTCGACCAGAGGTTTTTATTCTAAAAACGACCTGAAAGCTGCAACAACGCAGAAGTAGATCCATGAGTTTGACAATAATGAAAGGACATCTTTTTTTTCCTCTTTTCTWAAAAAAAAACTTCTAGCGCAGGCGACGTTCTTGGTAATTAGTCCAAGATATATGTGCTGATGTGGTTTTCTTATGTAGTCATGACAGAGTTTTAATCAAGGTTCTGCTACGGAGATGGATCACTGCAGCCCTGACTCAGCTTCAAACATCACCTTTCCCAGATATGTGACGTCTTCTGTCYGCCTCTAAACAAATTTTATAGTTGAAGTAGAACAGGCAACTCTCAGCTGTCACACCAGACTTTATATTCATGTTTGTGTTTTCTGAAGTCAGTTGGCTGTGGTACCCTTGGCTCAAACAGTGAATGAGTTGAACATTAAATAACTACTTCCTGAAAATTCTCCTAAAATCCATCCAAACTAAAATGAACTAAAAGATCTTGTTTCAGAATAGATGTTTGGGATCACGCTCAGCTTTTCCTTTCCTTTTTKTATTAACAACATAAAACAGAACAATAGACAACAATTCAACTCTTGCGAAGGGTAATATAGCAAAATAAATAATGAAATGATATTAAAATAATAAAAATCCAGAACAATGGAGCAAGGTTATACAGTGAGATTCTTAAAACAGTAAATATGTAGAGAACTGGTGTGAGATCTTAGCAGATTTCCAGTCTTTCACTGTACTTAATGAAGAAAAGTATCATTTAAAATTGTTCATGAAACGGGAAAGAGGGCTTATTTTCTCAATACAGTGAATATGGGATTTTGTTAAAAGTATGATTACATTTATTGCATCAGAGAAGGAAGAAYTTAAATTATCCACATAAAACAAAATGTCAACATAAAAAAAGGAAAGTCAAGTTTGACATAATCCAGTTTCTAATTTSTGTCCAAAAGCTTTTTGATTGACAGGAGAAAAACAAATGTTCCAAAGATTCATCTTCTGACTAACAAAAGGTACACAAATCAAATTTAAATCTTCTTTTAAGAAACATGGCTACAGGATATATCCTATTAATTATTTAAAAATGACTTTCCTTCACGTTAGGAGATATTTCGTAAATTTGAAGATCACTCTCAGCCACGCCAAATTTTACTYCATTATCTAAAGAGCTGACAGAGTAATGGACATTTTTATGTTTTCTGAGGGTGATTGACTATGGCAGCCATCTTGAATATAATCAACTTAAAAGTTCATTAGTTATAGATGTAACATTTTAGAGGGAAACTTTTCTTTTTGCAAAAAGTAATATTAGATTTCCCTTTTTTTAATTCATTATTATTGATTAGTCACTGTACAGTTTTTGCTTTTTTTTGCTATTTTAGATGGATAGTAAGAAAAATGGACAGCTAGAATTATTTTAAGGATTTTAAGATACTGAGTCTACAGTTATTTTTATGTACAGCAGGACTTGATGAATGGAATTGAAATTCTACTGTGTAGTTTTAAGACAAACTGTAGTAAATTAAACACTTAAATGCAAATTTCCTATAAATTCCTTTTAAATGAACTTCATCAAGCAGAACAGACAGTGAGTGATGTCTGCCAGCTTTCACCAGTAATAAACCCAGTGTTCCTGACAGGAAGAGGTTCTGGATGATCACCACCACTAGATGTCTCTCAAGCCCATCTTTTCTCGGAGCCTGCTGGGAGGCAGGCAGCACAACATGACTGCACACAAGAAGAATAAAWCTCCATTTTGAACTGACCAGATGCTCACAAGCATTACTGACTCAAAAACTGAATCCATTTAAAATTAGCAGCTGTAGAAACACTGCACTTCACTGGAAGCCTAAATATGGGTGTTTCTAAAACGCTTTAATTTCTCAGACCTTCTTCTTTTTTTAATTCTACCACATAGATCAACTTGTCCCATAAATATCTTTTTTTTTTTTTACATTTTTTATACTGTAGTTACATAAAGCAGCTAACCCTGAAAGCCCATTTGCTCAATCAGATTTCAGCAAGGCTGCTATACACARACACAGACTAAATGATGTTAGGGTAACATAAAATTGTAAAGATAATATTTCTGGCCAATCAGATGGACTCTCACAACTTATTCCCTCCCACTGAAAAAAGAGGCTGATATATGGAAGCATTTTGATGACGGAAAAATAAACTGATGAAAAATAATAATTGCTTGTTGCTGTACTGTTGTCACTCGTCTCATGACAGAGAAATGCTGCTAGGCAAAAAAAAATTACAACCTGTTTTTTATATTCGTATATCTTTTTCTAAAAAATATATTTAGTCATGACAGAGTTTTAATC